GGCTGGCAGAGACCATGGGAGGAATTGTGGGAGGGAGGGATCTGGAGGGCAGGTAGGGTCCTCAGGAGTATTGCTGAGGTCGGAGGGCTTGCTGGGATCAGGGGGGCTGGCAGGGTCTGTAGGAAAGCTTGGAGGATGGGGAGGTTCTCTCCCCCAAACCCTGAGACCAGGGGCTATTTTTAGCCCTCCCCACCCACAAACCGTCCCCCGCCTCAGCAAACATCCCCCTCATCTCACCCACGCCTTCCGCCACCCTAACTTACTTTCTCAGCTCCTGGCATCGGTGAATGCTGATAAAATTGGCACTAGGCGTAACTTGCAGGGTGGGAGTTTGATGGGCTAGATGGGGGGACTGGTCCACGGGAGGGATTGTTTGTCTGGAGGTAGGGTGATTGATCTAACCTTCTTGAGAAGGTTAACCTTTTGATCTTTATACTGAGCTAACCTTCTTGAACTTCTGTACACTTAGTACTTAGATTTACCTAACTAGGGATCTAAGTGTAAGGTGTGCACCTGGGCAAACTAAGTTAGATCAGGTGGCCATTTTTAGCAGGATCTAACCTCCCCCTACCCTTCTTAAATGTGTGTGGGCAGCCCCAGATTCAGATACAAGTTGCCATTTGGCTTCTGTCAGAAATGTGTGTGGCTGGTTCGAAGAAAGCTATTGGCTGTTAATGACTGGGTCTCATATGTTGGAAACAGTATAGGAACCTAAACAGAAAAGAGGAGAAAACAAACCTCAAAGCAAACAGAGCTGTCAGCTCAGAAGACAAACCTGGATATTTAAAACCACAAGGTGTTTCTCAGCATTCATTGTGACCCCTTGTGGTCTCTGCAGAAAGGAGGAAGTAGTGTATGCATTTCGTCATTTTCTCTTCTCTTGTTTCTCATAACCAGGAGATCTAAACAACACTCCTATATCAGTTTCTTGCCTATGTTCTTCACAGTGTTTAATTAAAATGGCAACTCTACCTTTTCATTAAGGCTAAGTACAGACAGTCAAAAAACCTGAGGCTGAATCAGTTCAGTTTTTGTAGGTTAGTTTAAGCTACAGAAATTAAACTGAGAAACATGTGGACACATATTTACCATTGATTTGGGAAATGCAGGCACATTCCTGCATGGCTCAGGCCAGAAGTCAGGGGGCAGTAAAGCACAGCTCTCTGTCAATTCCTCTTCCTGCTACCCCCAAGGTCTCTGGGATTTGCAGTCCAGCATCACAGTAGCAGGACTCTGCATGGCTACTTATCACTTTCTCTTCCTCCTTTGAGGTACCTCTGGGATTTATAGTCCACAGTCACAGCCAGGAGTAAATTTAACAGCAGGGCAGCTCTGTACTTGGGGGGCTGTCTTCTCTCCCCCCACCCCCCCCCAACCCTTCTTTGCTGGAGCAGAAAGCACAGCCAAGCCCAGGACTGGAAAGCATGCTGGGAGACTGGGGGACTCTGAATTAACTTAAACCAGGAAGGTGTCTGGGACAGAGGTTTCATAAACTAGTTTGACCCAAATCAGTTAAGTCTGATACTACATTCAATCAGGTTTATTTTAAACCAGTTTCAGCCCATTTGAAACTGGTTTGTGTGTACTGAGCTTCTGTTTTGTTATAAGTTGAAACCAGTTTCTGATGACTTAAACTGGTTTATGTCTAACTTCTATCCCTAGACTAAGTGAGAGCTTTCATTTTGTGGATACTGAGAAAGGAGCTGTAGGAAATCTTGGCCCCAATGAACGTACTGAGATATTTTTTTTTCTCATGATCTTAAATAAGACCCGGATTTCTCATCAGACCATTGACAGTAGACCACTTAGGCTAGGGACAGAAATTACGTATATACCAGTATACGTGATTGGAAAGCAGTCTAAACCTATAACAGTACAAAAGTTCAGTGCACAAAGACCAGTTGCAAAATGGTGGAATTCAGTTTAAAGTTGACCTGGATAGCTGTAGTATCAGATATAATCAGTTTAGGTTAAACTGGTCTATTGAACTTCTGTCTCAGATCCTATAGCAAATCACCTTAGTTCACTGTCCTCTGGCTTCTCAGGATACTTTGAGGCCCCCCCTCCCCATGCTAACCTCCTCATAGGGTGGCATTCAGGAATTTGGGTGTACTTGGCTGCTCCGAGCTGGTTGCTGTAGATGGAGAGGAGGTGGAGAAGGGAGCTTCTGTAGCTCTGCATGTGTAAAAACCATGACATCTGTGTCCCTGCATTGGCTCCCTACATGGCAGTGGTGGTGGTGGGGGGCTGGGTACTTCCCCTGTGCCAGTTGCAGGTCCTTCCCCGGTGCCAGTTGCAGGGGTGTAGCCCCCCCCCCCCTTGCTGCTCTGTCATATGGGGGTGCAGGCATGGGGACTTGGATGCCAGGATTTTGCCACTTACCACCCCCCACCCTAGCTCCAGCTGATAGATTCCTGTGGCTGACAGAGCAGCAGGGGAGGGAAGCCTGCTGGCTGAGCTCGGCTTGGCATTTTCCAGCAGTGCCTCCACCCTCCTGGCCTGACCAGCGCAGGCACTCTGTGTGCCCTCCTCTCCCAAAGGCCAGCGTCTGTTCTGTTCCTTCCTGACCTAATGTTAGGGCACTTAAAGCACAAAAATCAGATCGCTTCTGCCTTGGGTTTTTTGAACCTCTGTACTTAGCCTTAATGGGTGCATCTACACGTCCATTAATGCACTTTAGGTAATGTGCATTAAATCTAGTATCTCCATTGTAAGGTACTAGAAAAATACACATTAGCCTATTTTAATGCACATTAGCTAAAAAGCACGTTTTTTGTGACACTTCAGTGCACATTAAAATAGGCTAATGATCATTAAAGCTCACACCCAGTGATTAGACTTTATCCACAACAAATCTGTGACTACAGAAAAGATTTTGATACTCTCCCATTGTTGATGTAGGATATTTTTCCTTACCTACAGTTCCTGCTGTCTAGAACAGAAATCCTATATCTTATGGCCCTTAATAAGAGATAAATTGAAAAAATCCCAATTACTTCTGTTGGAAGAAATTAGTCTCAGGGCCTAACTCTCTGCCTCATTTCAAATTTGAATGTAATATGACAACCATGTAAGGGCTTATAAAATGTATCCATATGGTCCTGCTACTAGAAGGGAGATACAAAACAACTTTTTTGTAAGCCTGGCTTACTTCAAGACACCTTTTTTTCTCTCTTTGTATATATGAACCTTGTAAGTACTCACTTCTATTCTAAATATTATCTCTTCGTGGAATATACTCCTATTCTAAATATGATCTCTTCTTGAAATGAATAATACTTGCAAAAGAAAATTGTTTTCTAACAAAGCTGCAACTGGGCATTAAAACTTATAAGACGAAGTTAGGGTTGAAAGATTCTAAATGATAGGATTTGTTTGATGTAAATTATATCTTGGCTAATAATATATTAAGTAAAACTCAAATTGGAATTGTTTGGCAATTGTATATACTCTTGATGTACCAGTACAGTGAAACCATGTTCAAACTTTGTTTAATTGTTGCATCTCAGTAAGCTTTCCAACAGTTGCCAACTGAAGAAAAATGGTTTAATTAATTTTAAAAC